TGCTGGAACGTCAGGGCTGCTAAATAAGTGCATATTGAATCTGAAATCTGCACCTTCCACACAAGGTTTGTCTCCTGTGATTGACAGCGTGGCTCCAGAAAGGTGTGCACATTGACACAACTTTGTTTTTGAGGACAACGTCTTTCACTGACAAGCAAAACACTGGCCAAAGGACCACGATTGTAAAATAAACATTATGCTACTGCTTAACTGCAGAAAATAAAACAGGTTTTAGTTCTGAAGTTGATGTGAACTGCTATAAATGATTGCTGAGATAAGCATCACTTACATCTGCAAGCAATTATTTACTACTTACTGTTACTTTTCTTCCTAGGTAGGATTCAGTGATTCTGACATTGCTTCCTGTCGTGTCTCTGTTTATTACAGATAAGTGTGGCTGTGACTGGTGGAGCTGACCGCTGCACATGTCAAAGGCAATTATATCACTTCCTTCTTTGGCAACAAAGCCACAGTTGCAGGCTGTTGAGTAGAGAAGACTTCCACAGTCCCACTGGCGAACGTGAACTTCAAAATCTCGAGACGTACTCTTGTAGAGAACAAATGTGCCTGTTTTAAAATTGTCGTAGAGCCTGGAATCAAAAGAACAGCGTGTGGCATCACTTTGGTTATAAAATAACTGTACTGCCACACGTCAGCAACTTTATCTTAAAACAGCTTTCTCGCTGAAGAACTTTGACGCTGCAACTTGTTTTCCTGCATCAGAAAAACCAAACAGCACAGCCCACAAACCAACAAACAACTTTGTTCTGAACAAACACCACAATATCTTCCTCTGTGCAGCTCTACATCAAAAAAAAAACCCTAAGCTGTTTTACAGCAGAAAAATATGGAATAAAAGAAGGATCATGAGCTGAGTATCTGCAGACAATGGTTGTGAATGGAAACATACCCATGAAGCCACTGCCATTCTTTGATATTTTTTTTTTTTTAACTTGGATATTTTTTTCCCCTGTTTTTGACAGGGAACAGGGGGGCACTTCTCCACCTTTGTTGTACATCCTAGAGCAGTACATCCGTGCAGCAAGAGCAATAAGATGCATAGCAGGGGGGCAGCTGCTGAAAACCGCCTAAGTACCCTCGACAAAATGATTTAGAAAGTCACATACTTTTAAAAAGGTCTGCTTTCTTAAGATGGGGAGTGCTTATTCCCAAAGATTTGAAAATTATTTCAGATGTAAACCATAAATAGTGGCTTTCTTTTTTCTTTCTTTTCCTTAGGGTTAGCCATCTGTTCCCTGAAGCAAAGTTAAAATGACCAATTTAATGATTCAGCAGCGAGAAGGGCTTGGGGGAGGTGGGAGATGGGGGCAAGAAAAGAAAGAAAAACCTCCAAACTTTTGCTGCAAGTTTAACAGCCTCTTGGCTATAAATGGCACTTGACAGTTAATTGTTGATTGCAGAATAGTGATTTACTTTACGTATAATGGGCCAGCAGACAAACTGCAGATGGCTGCCCTGCTGGGACTGCAGAGGATTACCTGTCGTTCAGTAAGGACAGTTCCTTTTCTGGTTGTTTCCTCAGTTTGTAAAATAAAGTAGCAACAGACTTTAACCTTAAAAAGCCAGTTTTTTCATCACAGCATCCTGCTTCCAGCCAGCTCACATCACAGAAAACCATTGCTTCGTAAAAAAGCTTGTTCACAACGTATCAGTGGTTAAAATGCCCAGTGAAGCCATCCCTATAATTTCCACTGAAGGAGGAACTGAAAGATTAGGATAACTCAGTGACTTTATTATTATTAATCCTAGTCTCAGTGCTATCAGAGAAGCAACTGCAGCTTGTCTTTTCCCTTCTGTTATCAAGTTCCCAAGAGGAGTGGGTAGCAGGGTGGAGGTTCCCTTCTGTTATCAAGTTCCCAAGAGGAGCTGGTGTGGGGTGGAGACAACACATCCTCTTCTTGTCACCCTGCCACTTGAAGAAAAGTGCTTCTGCCAAGAATATATGCCCCAGGTGTGGACCCCGTGTTTGTTTTGACACCTTCCATGAATTAGAAACTCTTTGAAAGACAGAAGCACACCAAAAACATGCCAGCTGTGGCCACGGAAGCTGTCTTCACTTCAGAAAGAAGGTCAGTGATGTGCGAGTGACAGCAGTGATTAAGTGGCTTTCAATGCTATTAATGAACTCAGCACAATGGTACACGGGCAGCAAGTACCTTCTGGCAACCTGATCCTTACAAGGATTCAGGTATCGACACCCAGAAATAGGGAAACTACACTGTAGGTTGGAAACACCTTTGCATTAAAGCAGTTTTGCCTCATCGATCATTTTATCACTGTTCATATGTAATAACTTTTCTATCTTTCCTAGTCAACAGACAGTACAGCAACCCCTCCTCTCTTGGCATACTCTAACAAGGAAAATAGTCCATTTGCTTCACTCTCTTGCCACACCCCAAAACTTGCATTTAGAAATGCAAATTTTACAAACATCACCACAACTGGCAAGCTTTTACTAACTAAAGCACGTTTATCCTTATTTTCCAAGAAAGAGTGTAAACTACAGAGTGCAGTTGTGGAAAACCACAACTAACTTGTATCACCAGCCCAGATTTAAAATGAGTAAATAATTAAAGATGCCCACAAAAACCGCCCACAAAAAAAATCCCAACACACTTAAAATTTAAGAGCAGCAATCCAGTGCTTACCTTCCGTCAAATGTAATTATGTGAGGGTCAGTAAATGAGTAGCAGTAGGCAGTGGGTAGATCCTTTACTGTAATCTTCAAAACAAAGCAACACACAGTAAACCGTGTTAGATTAGGAAATAAACAGGCTCCAGCACATTGTTTATCTTAAGATACTAGCTTACATTCTAATAAATATATTATACTTTTAACCAATGTCAGTAGTTATATCAGTATTAAAATGTTAAAAAAATAATTCAAATGAAAACACGGCATTTCAATGAAAATAAAACAACGGAACATTGACCACTTAGAAATCTTGATGTGAGTCAGCAAATGACAACTGAAATAGAAGCTTCATTAACATCAGCTGCATTTCTGGGCAGTTCACAGAGCATAACATGAACATTTTCGACCTGTGTGCTCTCTGGAACGTAGCCATTCCACAGGAAGCTCGTGCTGGATATCGGTTCCACTGCAATCCTGGTAATTCTGTCTCCATCCTGCATAAAGTCTGTCACAGCAGTGAAATAAATTACAGCTTGACTACAGATTCCGTTACTGCAGGGTTTCTGGAGAAGATCCACATGACAAGAAGAAAGAGCCAAGTTTAAACCTAACTGCTCTTTACCTGTTTTAATGAAAGCACATCATTAGTGAGTTTTCCTCTAAGTCAGTCACAGTTTGATTACTACTGTTAATAGAGATACTAACTTATTTAAAAACATTTTCATAAATTGAAATAATTATGCATTTTTCTTGGGTTTGGTCATGCAAAACCCCCTCTCTACATCTTCACACACACCCCCAAGAACATGGGTTTGAATTTTACAGTTTGATAGGCCAATGGAAATCACAACAGGCCTGTTAATGTGACATAAAAATGGTTGTCGGCCTAGGCAAGGCTCCTCCTGAGGTTCACAGGACTTGTGCTTGAGAAACTACAGAAAACAGTCATGGTACTAAAAAATGAGAACTTCACAACTGCGTATATAATACTTGCAACACAACTGATCAACAAAATGAACTGAATTATAAACTTTGCAAGTATTCCATCTATCCAAGTCAAAGAATACGGCTCCGATACCCATAGCTGCCCAAACCACCTGCTAACTCCAACAAGTAATGGATTAGGGACACATTCTTCCATACTTTCAGCAGCAGTATACACAGCCCGTGAATATTTTAATATTTTGGAAAATATTTTACAATTAACAGTGTCTCCAAAGAAGGAGACCAACAGGAATATTTGGAGAAAACACATTAAACATACAAAATACAACAGAAATCGGGATAATGCTTACCTTCATCAACAGTATTTAATGTTAGTGAGATTTTGCAGTCACTTTCAAGCTGGCTAAACTCGGGACAAGGAATAGGAATGCTGCTTTCTATTGCCAGTCTGTACTCCTTCCCGTCTTCTGATATATCATACGTTTCTGGAAGTATCTAGTGCAGAAGAAACTGTACTTAAAATGCAAGCTTTGTGAGTAAACTACAGCATTGCTTACTAAGTGGCTAGAAGTACAGTATAAAAAAACCTGAAGAAATAGAATAGCACAGTGCACAGCCTGCTCCATTTCATCAAGCTCATTTAGATGGTCTGAGGAGCTTTAGGGCATCTTCAGGGGAGAAGGTGGGGACTCAGCAGCAAGAGTCTTGAAGAGGTGGAAATAAGTGGCAAAGATAAAGAACAGGCAAGAATAAAGGCTGGCTAAAAAGGTAAGGAATTCACAAACCACGTTACCACCACGAAAAATGTATTCTCTGGGTACCTTCTGGAAGTTAAACAGTTTGGTGTATTGTCTGGGGGAAGGAAGGAAGAAGCTACCTACAGGCAACAATGTCCCAAAAGAATTTGGAAGCACCCTATTTCTCCTGGGATTTCTCTCCACAAACTTATAACACAGCTCACTATAGATACATAACCAACAGTGCAACTAGAGATCAGTAACAGATGCCTAAAACTTCAACTCTTCTGCTATTTGACAAATTTAAGTTCACTACTGCCAACAACATGCTCTTTTAATTCACAATTAATACATTTTGAGTGCTTTCTAGTCAGAAGACTGACTGCTGTGGCAATACTCAGAAAGATTCCTACTACGACAAAGTAAAACATTATTTTCTTTCAAAATTACCTTAATGCCAGCAAAAAATTCCTTGCTTTCAACAGAAGCACTTTGTATGTCCGGCTTCTCCATGAAAAAAGCAGAACTGCTACAGTAGACCTGTAGGGCAAAACCAGTATAATAGAACACATTTTTGGTATGAAGTGGTCGTGTGAAGACAAACCCCAGCCGTCACGGGTTGGTTTGATGGATTCATCACACTCAGTCTTCTGTTTGCACCAGAAAATTACCAATTGTCAATGGTGATGCTTAAGAAAAACAAAGAAACACTTTGAGCATCCTAAGACCTTTTCCTGGCACATTCCACCAGCGGGGCAGAGACTTCTTGAACTAAGGCCACATACAAACCATCATGTTTAACAAGCACCTAAGTCTCCACAGATTTAACAAATCCCTTCCAGCGCATTTCTGCACCCCATGATATACTTTATTACATGTTAGTTACTTCCTTTTGTCTACTTCACCCTTTTTACCTTTAAATTCTGCTGAGTGCCCATTAGATCTTAGGTTATGCAAAACAATCACACTTATCACATGTTAGTTACTTCCTTTTGCCTACTTCACCCTTTTTACCTTTTAATTCTGCTGAGTGCCCATTAGATCTTAGGTTATGCAAAACCTCCTCTTCTTACTATACTATTTTCCTGGTGTTTCCCGGATAGTCTTTTTCAAGCTGAAGAATTTACTGTGATTTCCCTCCACTGAACCAGTTCCATGCTACCAGACACTGTGGTTTTGCTTTGCTTTTGTATTTTTTGTTTGTTTATTTTGCTGTATCCCTTTTGAGACAGACTGACCACACATGCAATCTTTGAGATCCTGAGAAAACCAAGGATTCAGAGCAGCAGCGGGTGGTTTATGACTGTGCCTCTCCTTTTGACTGAGCTAACACCATCAGGCATCTATTCACCAAGTTCCCAAAGGATTTTTGAGGATTAGCAATTGCTATTGATGCCCATAAACCATCCAAGCAGCCTTGCTTTGGCTTGAACACACATCCACATGCACACCAACCATGTGCATTTTTTTTTATTATTTTGGCCAGGAAAAAATAACCTGCATTTTGTTACATACAAGTAAAAAGCTTATTGATTTTCCAGTTCTTAAGCTTCTCAAAGTTACCATTAGAGCCTAGATCCTGATTCTGCTCCCACAGAAGGTAATGCAGGTACTCCCGCTCCTTTTGATGGCAGAGATTAAACCATTTGAATTCAATCCTGGAGACAAAACCATAAAGCAGCAGAGCTCATTATTGATTCAGAGACCAGAAATCTGTCCGATGAATCAACAACACAGCTTCTCACAATCTCTGGCTCTTATAGCCTCTTACTTAGATGCAGTTGCATCCAAAAATCCTCTTAATTTACGGCACCAAACAAAATCACAGTAGAGGGAGAAGAAGCAGCAACTTGAATAAGCATTTCTCTCCTGGAGGCACACTATACTACACTGAGACGGTCTAAAAACCTTAACAGTAGTGACAGTTCCTGATATATTCTGTGGTGTTTCCACATTGGTATGGGCACTGTGGGTGTAAACAGCAACTAGAGGCAATAAGCTTCTGCCAAGAAAAATCACACACTAAGGCACTGGAATGCTGACTGGCAACTCCTGGTGTCTACTGACCATTTATGAAACCATATGCCTTTAGATAAAATGGCTATGAAGGAGAAATAACATATCATAAACAATACAAAGAGTTTCATAATTATTTTTAACCTACTCTGTCTCCAAGTCTGATGTTTATTCCATCTAGTTCTAGAAGGGAGAAGGCGTGAACTGCTGTTTCACGTTTCAGTTCCTCTTTGGTACCTTCAGGAGAAAGCCTTGACCAGGTCACAACGAATCCCACCGAGGTGTTTGCAAAGGGAAAGCCAAAGGTGCACCTGAGGTAAACGCTGCCTTTGATCAGCCGTGCTACAATTTCAGGGACAGCTGGCAGTGGCGGGGACACAGATGGAGGTGACGGAGGAGCCAGGTTACCTGGTCAAACAGAAGTGCAGGTTGTGCTTTATATTCTGTGCAAAAACCAGTATCCAATGAAATGAAATCAACACAGATTTTTTCCATTAATACACTAATAATATTTACCTTTTCATATATGGAAATACTACCTAATCGCTTAGAGAATCAGAGTTGGTGTGCATGATTTTTGATTAATTATTGAAACTCTTGATCAGCCCTTGATTATATTCTAGCCCATAGGAAGGTGCTCAAGAGGGGAGGAACAAAACCCCAAACAAGGGAACAAAACATATTTAATTATTTTATCAGACAGGAGAGAGCAACAAGCAAAGGAATTTGCCTGACAGAAGAATACTTTCTCTACTTATGAAGAAAGGGAAAAAGGAAAAAAAAAAAGGGGCTATATAACAAGGAACAGAATAAACAACAGTTCTATTTGTAGATTCATCTGATATTTAACTACTAAAGAATCGTGGTAATCTCTAAATCCTCATTATTAAAACTACTTTTTAACATTTTGGTAGTTATTCTGAACATTACACTGAGGAACTAATTTTGGAATCCAAGGTCTGAAATTACCTCCAAACTGCTCATTTGTCAAAGACCAAGGAATACTGTCAATAACATGAATGTGTTTTTATTCAAGATAAAATATGACTAAATTTTGACATTATTGGGTCACAGATGCACAGGAAATCTTGAAAATCAAACTAAAATACTTACTGATACAGAGGCCTTGAATCTCTGCTCCCTCAGGATCACAGGTCTGTGGCTTTGCATCTGAAACAACTATAAATTGTTCTTAAATTGTATATTCACACAACACAGAGTGGGTACACCAACGCTCTTAACTTATTGTTCTATGTTAAAAATGCACCAAATATCACAAGACACTAATTGAAATGTAAATGAGCGAATCAACAACACAGCTTCTCACAACCTCTGGCTCTTATAGCCTCTTACTTAGGTGCAGTTGCATCCAAAAATCCTCTTAATTTACGGCACCAAACAAAATCACAGTAGAGGGAGAAGAAGCAGCAACTTGAATAAGCATTTCTCTCCTGGAGGCACACTATACTACACTGAGACGGTCTAAAAACCTTAACAGTAGTGACAGTTCCTGATATATTCTGTGGTGTTTCCACATTGGTATGGGCACTGTGGGTGTAAACAGCAACTAGAGGCAATAAGCTTCTGCCAAGAAAAATCACACACTAAGGCACTGGAAAGCTGACTGGCAACTCCTGGTGTCTACTGACCATTTATGAAACCATATGCCTTTAGATAAAATGGCTATGAAGGAGAAATAACATATCATAAACAATACAAAGAGTTTTATAATTATTTTTAACCTACTCTGTCTCCAAGTCTGATGTTTATTCCATCTAGTTCTAGAAGGGAGAAGGCGTGAACTGCTGTTTCACGTTTCAGTTCCTCTTTGGTACCTTCAGGAGAAAGCCTTGACCAGGTCACAACGAATCCCACCGAGGTGTTTGCAAAGGGAAAGCCAAAGGTGCACCTGAGGTAAACGCTGCCTTTGATCAGCCGTGCTACAATTTCAGGGACAGCTGGCAGTGGCGGGGACACAGATGGAGGTGACGGAGGAGCCAGGTTACCTGGTCAAACAGAAGTGCAGGTTGTGCTTTATATTCTGTGCAAAAACCAGTATCCAATGAAATGAAATCAACACAGATTTTTTCCATTAATACACTAATAATATTTACCTTTTCATATATGGAAATACTACCTAATCGCTTAGAGAATCAGAGTTGGTGTGCATGATTTTTGATTAATTATTGAAACTCTTGATCAGCCCTTGATTATATTCTAGCCCATAGGAAGGTGCTCAAGAGGGGAGGAACAAAACCCCAAACAAGGGAACAAAACATATTTAATTATTTTATCAGACAGGAGAGAGCAACAAGCAAAGGAATTTGCCTGACAGAAGAATACTTTCTCTACTTATGAAGAAAGGGAAAAAGGAAAAAAAAAAAGGGGCTATATAACAAGGAACAGAATAAACAACAGTTCTATTTGTAGATTCATCTGATATTTAACTACTAAAGAATCGTGGTAATCTCTAAATCCTCATTATTAAAACTACTTTTTAACATTTTGGTAGTTATTCTGAACATTACACTGAGGAACTAATTTTGGAATCCAAGGTCTGAAATTACCTCCAAACTGCTCATTTGTCAAAGACCAAGGAATACTGTCAATAACATGAATGTGTTTTTATTCAAGATAAAATATGACTAAATTTTGACATTATTGGGTCACAGATGCACAGAAAATCTTGAAAATCAGACTAAAATACTTACTGATACAGACGCCTTGAATCTCTGCTCCCTCAGGATCACAGGTCTGTGGCTTTGCATCTGAAACAACTATAAATTGTTCTTAAATTGTATATTCACACAACACAGAGTGGGTACACCAACGCTCTTAACTTATTGTTCTATGTTAAAAATACACCACAGATCACAAGACACTAATTGAAATGTGAATTAGAAAAACAGAAGCAATCTTCTAATTCCTATACAATGATGGTGGCAGGGAGTGCAAAGCCTTGCACTGGAGATCACCAGTAGATTGGCTACAGCTGGGAGGAAGGTACAGAACATTCTACCACCCCTGCATCTCTTACTTCAGAGGGACCCAGCCAATACTCAGAGATAGTGCATGAAAAGGAATTAAACTATTCCCTTGCACATCTATTTTGTCCCCCCAAATGCACACCTGAATGCTTATTCATTAACTGTAACCCTGGACAGCCAAATTCAACGCAGCCCTGCTTTGAAAAAAATCATCGTTCCTACCTAAGAAAAAGGCTGCTGACTGGCAACTCCTGGTGTCTACTGACCATTTATGAAACCATATGCCTTTAGATAAAATGGCTATGAAGGAGAAATAACATATCATAAACAATACAAAGAGTTTTATAATTATTTTTAACCTACTCTGTCTCCAAGTCTGATGTTTATTCCATCTAGTTCTAGAAGGGAGAAGGCGTGAACTGCTGTTTCACGTTTCAGTTCCTCTTTGGTACCTTCAGGAGAAAGCCTTGACCAGGTCACAACGAATCCCACCGAGGTGTTTGCAAAGGGAAAGCCAAAGGTGCACCTGAGGTAAACGCTGCCTTTGATCACCCGTGCTACAACTTCAGGGACAGCTGGCAGTGGCGGGGACACAGATGGAGGTGACGGAGGAGCCAGGTTACCTGGTCAAACAGAAGTGCAGGTTGTGCTTTATATTCTGTGCAAAAACCGTTATCTAATGAAATGAAATCAACACAGATTTTGTCCATTAATACACTAATAATATTTACCTTTTTCATATATGGAAATATTACCTAATTGCTTAGAGAATCAGAGTTGGTGTGCGTGATTTTTGATTAATTATTAAAACTCTTGATCAGCCCCTGATTATATTCTAGCCCATAGGAAGGTGCTCAAGAGGGGAGGAAAAAAACCCCAAATGAGGGAACTAAACATATTTAATTATTTTATCAGACAGGAGAGAGCAACAAGCAAAGGAATTTGCCTGACAGAAGAATATTTTCTCTACTTAGGAAGAAAGGGAAAAAGAAAAAAAAAAAGGGCTATGTAACAAGGAACAGAATAAGCAACAGTTTGGTTTGTAGATTCATCTGATATTTAACTACTAAAGAATCATGCTAATCTCTAAATCCTCATTATTAAAACTACTTTTTAACATTTTGGTAGTTATTCTGAACATTACACTGAGGAACTAATTTTGGAATCCAAGGTCTGAAATTACCTCCAAACTGCTCATTTGTCAAAGACCAAGGAATACTGTCAATAACATGAATGTGTTTTTATTCAAGATAAAATATGACTAAATTTTGACATTATTGGGTCACAGATGCACAGAAAATCTTGAAAATCAGACTAAAATACTTACTGATACAGACGCCTTGAATCTCTGCTCCCTCAGGATCACAGGTCTGTGGCTTTGCATCTGAAACAACTATAAATTGTTCTTAAATTGTATATTCACACAACACAGAGTGGGTACACCAACGCTCTTAACTTATTGTTCTATGTTAAAAATACACCACAGATCACAAGACACTAATTGAAATGTGAATTAGAAAAACAGAAGCAATCTTCTAATTCCTATACAATGATGGTGGCAGGGAGTGCAAAGCCTTGCACTGGAGATCACCAGTAGATTGGCTACAGCTGGGAGGAAGGTACAGAACATTCTACCACCCCTGCATCTCTTACTTCAGAGGGACCCAGCCAATACTCAGAGATAGTGCATGAAAAGGAATTAAACTATTCCCTTGCACATCTATTTTGTCCCCCCAAATGCACACCTGAATGCTTATTCATTAACTGTAACCCTGGACAGCCAAATTCAACGCAGCCCTGCTTTGAAAAAAATCATCGTTCCTACCTAAGAAAAAGGCTATTGTTTGCTATTTTGTATGTTATTTTTAAAAAGTGGGACTTTACCAGTGCATTTGTACCAGCAGCAGGAAGAGGTTAGTCAGCCCAGCCAAAGTAAGACAAAAGAGCAGCAGCAACACCAAAAGCCCCATTCGCCAAAAAGAAGGAAGAGCAGATTTTGATGTTCCAGACCAAACACAAAGTCCCGTAGTGCAGTAGTTTTTCGTTGCTTCAGCCACTCATATGCTGAAATGCCCCATTTCTGGCAGTTTTTTCTGTCGATAAACCCTTGGAGAATAAACCCTTAAGAATTGGACCTAAAGCAATAATGATTGTCCAACAAGGCACCAGAAAACCCACTGATAGTTTTGGTGTGAAGCTTTTGCAAACAGTCAGAAGTAGAGAATGTGACTTTGAGCAAGACAGTGCATGATGCATAAAAATATTGCTGGTATTTTCACAACACTGCGTTATACAAGCTAATGAGAATCTCCTGCTACACTAATTTGCCACTATTTCACAGTATTTATAAGTGTAAGGATTTAAATATGCCTTAATTAAGCTATCTGGAAGATCTGGCATGAATAACGAAATAAAGAAGTTTTGAGCTGTGAACACCAACCCTTTTGCAGTGCAAGGGCCCAAGATAAAACAAAGCATCACAAAAGGACTCTGGTTCTTCCTCATGGTACTAATAAATTGTCTGTCAATAGAGCATTTTTGTGCTGAATTTTCTTCTAGCAACAATGTGTATGCTCTCCAGAATGATGATAAAAGAAGTACAGAAAGAAAAAGATTCCTAACCATATATATATCACAGAATCACAGAATCTTCTAGGTTGGAAGGGACCTTAAAGATCATCTTGTCCAACCGTCAACCTAACTGACAAAAATAGACACCCACACAACAAACTATATTGATATATAAGCCATTTGGTGAAGTTCTTAAACAAAATTTACTCTGACACGTAATTCTATGCATGTTCAGCCTTGGGTATTTGCAGAGCAGAAGTAAGAGTGTAAAAATACTCTGAAATTTGACTTCCAGATGTGTCTTATATCCCCACCTCATCGTACAAAAATTTCAATTCCTAAGTTTCTGTGCTTTGAAGAGCATTTGAGTGCTAAATGTAAGTTAAAAAGGGGTGGTGTGAACCCACCTCACCAGATAAAATAATTTTTCTATTAATATCAATATGAAAAGTAAGGACTGCAGGAAACTTCACCAAGTAAAACTATTTTCAGGTGTTTCCTTTCATCCAAACACCAGAGCAAGACAGTTACTCATCAACACACGCGGGCAGTTGAGTTAGACCAGGCGTTTTCTCACCTTCTGCACAATACCCCATGCATCCTTGGGTGGGCTGCAGCAAGTAAACAAAGAAATCTCCACAGTTCCTCACACTGACAGGGATTCGGAAAAGGCAGCAGTCTTTTGAAGTGCTGAAGAAGAACTGCCATGTAGCACAGGCCGTCAGCTGTTTGATCTCACCGGGGCGAGGCATGGACTCTGAGTCCCTCAGAGACAACCAGACAGGGGCTTGAGTTCCGCAGTGATTCATCTGCCGTGCCAAAGGAAAACATCACAAAATGGTTAATGCCTTATCAAACTGTTGCTATGCTTTAATGAGAGGTGTATTCAATTAGTTTCCTGCATGGGCTTTTAGCGAAGTTTAGACAGTGTAATTGAGGGCTTGCTTATTTTCCTCCTCAAGGTTGAATACAAATACACACAAAGGAGGCTTAAGTCTTTCTTTGAGTCTAATGCATTTGTGTTGCTAAAGACTATAATTTAGAATCATAGAATCATAGAGTTGCATAGGTTAGAAGGGACCTTTCAGATCATCTAGTCCAACCATCAACCTAACACTGACAAAACCCATCACTAAACCATGTCTCTAAGCACTATGTCTACCCATCTTCTAAATCCCTCCAGGGATGGTGACTCAACCACTTCCCTGGGCAGCCCATTCCAAGGCTTAATAACCCTTTCAGTGTAAACATTTTTCTAATATCCAACCTAAACCTCCCCTGGCACAACTGGACACCATTTCCTCTTGTCCCATTGCCTGTTACTTGGGAGAAGAGACCAACCCCACCTCACTACACCCTCATTTCAGGGAGTTGTAGACAGCGATATAGTTGTAGACAGGTGTCCCCTTTTTTAGTGCCTAAAGAACTTAACCAGGAGCCACACCTGAGTGGTTTTGCCCAAAAAAGCCAGCAATTGTGTTATGGCTTAGCGAGTTACTCTACACCTGTTAACCTACAGTAGCTGATTGTGTGAATGCCACCAGAGCATGGCAAATACAGGGCAGAAGATATACTCACTGAATATCAACCAAAGGTGCTTAAGCAGACACACTTTATCCGCCCTTTGCCATGGACTGAAGGCTCAGCCAGCCTCCTGGATTTTAGCTAAGAGATGTGGCCAGCTGATGCACAGTTACTGGCTTGCAGCCCTAGCCAAAAATGCAAGACACCTTTATGAGGGAGTGAGAAGTGTGCTGTGGAACAGTCTCCTTCGCCCCCCACCACTGTGGCAACATGAGGTCTTCTCATCAAGGAAGCTGCTGAGCAGGTCACAACTTCACAGCAGTAACAATCATAGTACCCCAAACATAAATCTGATTTAGCAGACCCCAGAGTTTAGCAGCAGAACACAGGAAAATCAATCCTGAGAAAAGGAGACAAAGGAGGAACCTGGTTCATGGGTTATCAGAATGAGTTAAAAGTCACCTCCAGTCTCTCATGTGCTTGCAGGAAGCAAACTGAAGAGAAAGACCTAGAAGGCCACAGTGTGTTAAAGCCAGCATTTGGAAAATATTTAGATGAAAACTATAAATCTGAGATCGTGAGATTTTGAGAACCTCTTCTCCTTTGTACCTAACCTCAAGTATCCCTTTCTTTGATCCCTTGAGGAGCTGCTATAAACTCAGTTTTATTTCATGAGTATTTTGAACTGTTTTGTATTCCTATAAAAGTGTTTCATTGTTGGGTTTTTGAATTTTTGATTTTTATTAAGAGACTGTGACCCGGCAATTTCAATTCATTAGAGAAATCACAGGTAAAATATTGTAATGACATTTTAATTATTTTTTTTTCTTAAACAAGGAAATGTTTTAAAATAGGAATATAGTTGTCATGGTCCAAAATAAAGCCTTACAAGTCTAAAGTATTAAATATTCCAAGTAATTCTTGAGTCTTAGGGGACTTGCTGCTGCTGAGGCAACTCTGTTAGTTCAAGTCATTTTAAGAGCAACCTCTTCTAACATCATCACTTTAAAGGCTCCACAATTACTGGCTTCATGTGGCTGCAAATCTTTATCCCACATTCACATGGCCTTCCCAACAGACTGCCCACCACAGAGCTGCAGCTTTACAACAGGATAGTCCTGCTCTGCTGCTGCTGAGAAAACCTTCAGCAGTGACCAAAAATTACTAGTTTTGAGTGCTCTAAAAGGGATGTAATTTGTCATCCCCTGCTATTCCCTACTCAGCGTAAAATTTTCAATGCTTAAGACTTAATTGTCCAGTTAACACATTTTAAATAAAGTATTTAGAGAGAGTAGGTACTCTTCCTCCACAGCAGTCTCCATAACTGTATTCTGGTTTTGTTCCTATCCCACTGAAAAGTTCATAAGAAAAAAATACGTATTTCTAATAATCTAATGGGTTGTAACAGTACCTCCACGCACTTGGTCGGCATCTCAGCAGGCTTATCAAAAACCATAAAGCGATACCATCCTGGTGTTAGGGAATGGTCACATATTAAATCCTGAATGGCTGACTGCTGGAGGTGGGAGGAATCGAAGTCAACGCTTCGGTAAGGGCTCTGCAGGACCCGATGGCCACCAGGAGAGCATTCGAGAACTGGGGAGCAAGAGAGCAGTTTGAGTATCAAGATGGAACGTCTAACAGGCATGTTAGAAAATATGTTAAGTGTTTTTAATGGGAAAAGATGGATATATTGCAATATGATGCGAAGCTACTTTTACCGTAAAACATGTTGAAGTCTTAGTAACAACAACAAATAGTTATCTTAGCACTCTAAAATTGAATAGAATTCATCATGTGGTAACTTTTCCTTCTTTAAGTGGAGAATAAATGCAAATTAATAACCACATTAGGCATTTACCCTGGATGTAGAAACAGCAGAAAGGAGTATGTTCATACTTTCTCTCTGGATTTTGACTTTCTAGTTTCACTGATGTTTATGAACTCTAACAACCCAAATAAAAACGGGGTGTCAGATATATGAGGGTCAAAATCTTACTTTAAGAAGAGTAAAGATTATCCAAAGTTTTTCTGTAAATAGGCTTTATGGGGTTTCTATGCCTGAAATGAAGAATTCTCTCGAATGGATGAGAGGTAGTTGCACACAGTTTGCACACATACACGTGGATGGTAGCAAAAGTGTGTATGGAAATGGGGAGATGCCCAGTTACACAATTTAAGTCAATTTGCATGACTGACATGCTAAATTTTAATAAAGTAAATACAACTACCAAACATATTATTGGATATCTAAATGGCCTTGTGGCCTCAAAAAAAAAAAATCTCAAAATTGCTGATAGGCAACATGAAGGTTTAGAATCTGAAGACGTCTTTATGATTTTTTTTTTTTTTAAAATTCATTCAATAATAAAGCAGAATGCCAGAATTTCTGAGTCTGATTTGGCAACCGAGTCAACTCCTGTCAAAGACAGTGACAATAAAAGTTCTGGCTAATGGCATATTTGCATGCAATATGCCATTGAGTTCTTGCTCAGGAATGTGCCTGGGAAGTGAAAGCAGGGGAAAACAAAGTCAGAGAATATTAATAAATAATTAACATTTTAAATATGCCTATCTATTTAGCTTGCTTTTAAAAATGGATACCAACTGATGCTGCCCATGAATGGAATTTCAGGTTATACTGAATGACACAGTTAATCTTAATTCTTGCCTCTGCTATGCTATTAATGAATTAAAAAAATGCAGCTGCAGTAAAGCTCTATGATCTTACATTTTGAATAATAATACTCTTAACTTCAGTTTTCTCTCCCAGACTTTTCTGTATTTGTCCCATATTTTGCATGGTGTATTTATGCCACTGATTACAAACATATTTTGGTTCAAATCATGCAATAACACACTATCACCTCCCACATTTTTCACACCATTGCCTAGACAACCCCAATTATAAAACAGTTTCCAAACCAGGTAATTTCCCTCCTTTAAATGGAGAAGATGCCCCAGTGAGGGAACAGACTTCATCTTCTTTCAAGCACAGTTTGAGAATCCTATAGCCTTTCAAAGACGGAAGATTTAATCTGCTATGGCTTTAGGCTACCCAGGCAGGTAACAATAGCTTTATCTTCTGTCCTCTAAGGGCAGATGGAAGTCGCTGTGATTGACTGTGCCACCACCGTGCTGCTGAGTTACTCCTAGTAGCCCCTAGGCTATTCGTGTCCATACAAGTTGACCTTACTGAGAATTTATCCTTCATTGGAATTCGAAGAAAAGCCCTTGAAGAATCACAGGTCAGTCATGTGTGTTATTGAAATGTTTTCTAACCAAGCTACAGCACAAGCAGTTTATGAACCGCGGGGAAAGTTTCTTCCTGCCTTCTATTTTTTTTTTTTAACTGGAATTCTCCCTTTCCTGCAGCACCCTCATCAGATTTCTTTCCTGTAACTGAACCACTCCTGAAGCAATTAATATCTGTTCCCTTCTCCATTAATAAATCAAGCTAGACATGAGACAAGTCTTTATTTTCTTTTCCTCCACAGTTTAATTAGATCATCGTTTGATAGATCTTTAAAACAGCAGACTGTACTCACTTGTAACAGGGTCATAAATCCTACTAAAGATCAAATTATACGTTTCTTATTATTATGCACATCACTTTAAAATGTCATCCAGCCCTTTGTCTATTCTTTCTTCCTTTTTAGAAGAATGCTAATATTTCCATAGCTATTGCTTGGAAATCTCATGTTGCACAACACTGGTTGATTATTTTTCCTGCCTGTCTTCAGGATGAATACAGTGAGCTTTGCCTGGATCCATCCCAGACCTCTGTGGTCCTCCCAGATACTGAGAAATGTGATTCGAAGCCAGAAAAGAAATCAACTTTTGCAACATTTTAAACGCAAGGGTAGCGCTGTGCTGGAGGATGAGCCTTTTGGGAGAGGTATAGAGGAAATCTCTGCCAACACCTTGGGGTTTGTACCACGACTGCCACAAACTGGGTCAGGTAATAGGTACTCTGAGCAGCACACGTTAACCAAAAGTCAAAGAGGTTCTTGAAATCAACACAGGAGCTCATTTTCCACAAAAAAAAAAAAAAAAAAATACCAAACATATTATTGGATATCTAAATGGCCTTGTGGCCTCAAAAAAAAAAAATCTCAAAATTGCTGATAGGCAACATGAAGGTTTAGAATCTGAAGACGTCTTTATGATTTTTTTTTTTTTTAAAATTCATTCAATAATAAAGCAGAATGCCAGAATTTCTGAGTCTGATTTGGCAACCGAGTCAAAAAAAAAAAAATCTCAAAATTGCTGATAGGCAACATGAAGGTTCAGAATCTGAAGATGTCTTTATGATATTTTTTTTTAAAAAAAAAACATTCAGAAATAAAGCAGAATACCAGAATTTCTGAGTCTGATCTGGCAACTGAGTCGACTCCTGTCAAAGACAGTGACAATAAAAGTTCTGGCTAATGGCATATTTGCATGCAACATGCCATTGAGTTCTTGCTCAGGAATGTGCCTGGGAAGTGAAAGTAGGGGAAAAAAAAGTAAGAGAATATTAATAAATAATTAACATTTTAAATATGCCTATCTATTTACCTTGCTTTTAAAAATGGATACCAACTGATGCTGCCCATGAATGGAATTTCAGGTTATACTGAATGACACAGTTAATCTTAATTCTTGCCTCTACTATGCTATTAATGAATTAAAAAAATGCAGCTGCAGTAAAGCTCTATGATCTGACATTGTGAATAATAATACTCTTAACTTCAGTTTTCTCTCCCAGACTTTTCTGTATTTGTCCCATATTTTGCATGGTGTATTTACGCCACTGATTACAAACATATTTTGGTTCAAATCATGCAATAACACACTATCACCTCCCACATTTTTCACACCATTGCCTAGACAACCCCAATTATAAAACAGTTTCCAAACCAGGTAATTTCCCTCCTTTAAATGGAGAAGATGCCCCAGTGAGGGAACAGACTTCATCTTCTTTCAAGCACAGTTTGAGAATCCTATAGCCTTTCAAAGACGGAAGATTTAATCTGCTATGGCTTTAGGCTACCCAGGCAGGTAACAATAGCTTTATCTTCTGTCCTCTAAGGGCAGATGGAAGTCGCTGTGATTGACTGTGCCACCACCGTGCTGCTGAGTTACTCCTAGTAGCCCCTAGGCTATTCGTGTCCATACAAGTTGACCTTACTGAGAATTTATCCTTCATTGGAATTCGAAGAAAAGCCCTTGAAGAATCACAGGTCAGTCATGTGTGTTATTGAAATGTTTTCTAACCAAGCTACAGCACAAGCAGTTTATGAACCGCGGGGAAAGTTTCTTCCTGCCTTCTATTTTTTTTTTTTAACTGGAATTCTCCCTTTCCTGCAGCACCCTCATCAGATTTCTTTCCTGTAACTGAACCACTCCTGAAGCAATTAATATCTGTTCCCTTCTCCATTAATAAATCAAGCTAGACATGAGACAAGTCTTTATTTTCTTTTCCTCCACAGTTTAATTAGATCATCGTTTGATAGATCTTTAAAACAGCAGACTGTACTCACTTGTAACAGGGTCATAAATCCTACTAAAGATCAAATTATACGTTTCTTATTATTATGCACATCACTTTAAAATGTCATCCAGCCCTTTGTCTATTCTTTCTTCCTTTTTAGAAGAATGCTAATATTTCCATAGCTATTGCTTGGAAATCTCATGTTGCACAACACTGGTTGATTATTTTTCCTGCCTGTCTTCAGGATGAATACAGTGAGCTTTGCCTGGATCCATCCCAGACCTCTGTGGTCCTCCCAGATACTGAGAAATGTGATTCGAAGCCAGAAAAGAAATCAACTTTTGCAACATTTTAAACGCAAGGGTAGCGCTGTGCTGGAGGATGAGCCTTTTGGGAGAGGTATAGAGGAAATCTCTGCCAACACCTTGGGGTTTGTACCACGACTGCCACAAACTGGGTCAGGTAATAGGTACTCTGAGCAGCACACGTTAACCAAAAGTCAAAGAGGTTCTTGAAATCAACACAGGAGCTCATTTTCCACAAAAAAAAAAAAAAAAAAAAGAAGGTATTTAAGTGGCTCCCCATGACTGCCTCAGCTGGAGAACTGAGCTCCACAAAGGAAGGGCTTTTCAATTCCCTGTTCCCATCTCTATTCAAATCCAGGTGCAGGGAGGGGCTGATGATTTTCCACCTGACCCTAATGTTTCCAGCATTATGGAGCAGTTGGGGACTGAGGACTACAACCCCATGTAGAGATGGAAAAAGAAGTCACTCGTTGAATAGGGGCAAGGCAAGTGCAGAGGGGCAGGACTGACAACTCCATTCCTCAGGTAGGGTTGGCTCATCAGTTTATATCTCCTGCTGCCCAAAGGTCTGGCAAATGACTATGGATAAGCAGGTAATGCCATTAGTAAGTGCCTGCTCTGATCTTGGAAGTGCTTTTTATTGCATCTACTGACTGCAATGGATGCAGCGTATCAACATCCCAAGGCAGAAATTGGAGCACTTCATACAGAACAAAAGTGCTCACACCTATTCGTGGATTTCAACTCCTTCAAAATACTAAACTAGGAAGAAGTTCACTTTTTGAACCACGGACCCCCCCTCT